TGATGATCTTAAAGGTCTTTTCCAACCTAAATGATTCCATGATTCTCATAAGACACAGCAAAGCCAGGCAGCATGAGATTTGTAGTTCAGCTGAGAAGGGGATAGTGTATTTAATGACTAGAGAAATCATTCTCTGCTTTGATTTCTAAGTTGCTGAGTATTAGGAAGCTAGGAAAACAAACATAAATGGGAGAAAATATGAGCGAGGCAGAAGAATACTGACCTGTAAGTTTTAATCTGAAAGTATAAATGCTTTAGTAGCAAATCGCAGTATCATGATTATACTCTACCAAAGGAGGTACCTTTCTAAGGCAATTCAGGCCAGAGAAAAAAATGCCTAAGAATTTTTCTAAATCAGGATGTAAATGTTTGCAAGATCCATGCCTACAAAATCTTTCACTTTATAAAGTGCAGATATTCACAACTTTAGTTAAACTGGCATGAGATTTTGGGCGGTATGCTGATAAGTGGCAGACTGATAACATAATCTAATTTCATTTTTGCAAAATTAACAAGTTACAGATTCATCCTAATGAGTAAAACATGGGGAAAACAGTAAAAAATATAGTATGCTTATTCAGAAAATGCATGTTAATTGTATTAACCACTATTTAGACCTGTCTTATACATTGTTTAGTAAAGTAATGAAATCATAATCTCTTCAATAGATGTTTGACTCTGAGAGAAAACTTAAATCCCAGACAGCATCTTTAGTTGCCTAAACAGTGCAGGAAACACGTTAGTGAAAGGAAACATGGTCTCTTGGGGATGGGGTGGAGGGCGAGGGAAGAACAACCAAACACTAAACCTACATACATTCTTTCTCTTTTTCCATTTCCATTTCTTCCCAGAATGTTATACAGCAAATGGGGCTGACTATCGTGGCACTCAGAACCAGACCTCCCAATATGCAGGGAAACCTTGTCTTTTTTGGAATGAGACCTTTGAGCATCCTTATAATACTTTGAAATATCCCAATGGGGAGGGAGGGCTTGGAGAGCATAACTACTGCAGGTAAGAAATATCTCATTGCTACTAACATTGCCTGTATACCCAGTGTTACTTTAAACAGTTGACACAAAATTAGGAAACTTCCTGTCATACAGTGAAGAATGTCAGAACCGTGGATATCAACAGGTTTTGTTTCATCCTGTAATCAGTACCCTGGATCTACAAGCACCATTACTAGAATAACTTTTTTAACTCAGCTCTCACCCAAAGTCCGTATCATATATCCAATCTATAATTTGGCATGACGGAGAAAGACAAGAGATTACTTAATGAAAAGGTGGAGATAATAAAAAAATTGATCCAGGTCAGAAGTACAGAAGCACTAGTGAATGTCTGTAGGAGTCTCCGGAACGTTATGGTTTTTATCCTCACCCACAAGCCTGGTTCTGTTGTACGCTATGTTTCCGAGTTTTGTGCTAATGAAAGTTATGTAGTCAGTAAAAATTCTCAGTGAGCATAAGCTGTTCAGTGACTTAGAGTTGTTATTTGAATTCAGAAGCTCAACTGCCAGTGGTTACAATACCAGCTCAAACCATGGCAGATCCACTTTCATTTCCTTGCCTTCTAGAGAAGTCCTCCATAACTATGGATAGAACTCGGAACGAAACTTAAATAAGAACTTCAGAACTTAGGAGCCAAATAAGAACCTCAGTTCAGAGATGTTTAGGCTCTGCAGGCTCTTTCAGCCTGCAACATTTAACTTCCTGATGTTGTGCATCAGAAAGTTACACGCACTTCTGCCTTTGCAGGACTGACCAGCTAAGTTTTTATGCCCATCTATACTTGCTATGGAAATAAGTGGGGAATAACCTGATAGATACATTCCTTAAACAGTGATAATCATCAGCTCATCTAGGATGCATATAAAGTCTCTTACTCACTGGATAATGGGGACAGGGATGTTTAAACCAACAGTTTAAGAATTTCGTTACCTGGGGCATAGCAAGACAAGCTCTAATGTCTCCTTCATGAGAAGGTTCAAACCACATCTCAATTCTCCTGGAAGATGCCTTTACTTAGCAGGTTATAGGCTTTCTAGGGTAGAGCCTATACACTTGCCACCTTCATGTTGAAATCATTTCACTGTAAGCAATATAAGTCAGGATAAATGAGGCAAAATTAGTATGCAGGAGTTCAGCACAATTGCTGTGTCACGAACATAGGGTCCTGGTTCTTGATCCAAGAACTTTTTCATCTTAATCAGAAATAGACATTCAAGAAAATATGACGGAGACAAAGCCAGCCAGTTAATGGAGAGTAAGTAAGAAAGTACATAAAAGAGGTCTTGTGACATGCAGCAGACAGATGAGCACATTGATGAAAGGAGTCAATCGCATTTCTAGAGTATTTGATGACTCAGGAGGCTATTTCTCATTGAAGAACATTGGTGAAGGACAAGGGAAGAAAAAGACTTACTCGGGATCTTTTCCAGTGGCTGCAGCAGTGCTTCAAAATAACACTGTTCAATGTGTTGCACCAGTGGACTCTGTTCTCAGCCGTAGAAGGAGAGAGCATTATTGCCAAGTGCTGAATTGACTCTTTTTTGAATCAGTTCAGCATCTTACAGGAGCAAAGAAAAGTACACCACCTACAAGAGCAACTCCATAGAAGTTGGGCATTCTCTTTAGAAAATGGCCTGGAAACCAAATAAACCCATCAAGCTGTCTAGTATCAGATCGGCATGTGAGCACTGGAAGGACTGTCTTCCCATCAAAAACATTTCACACCAACTTCACAGCCTCGCTCAGCCGAACACCACCAAATGCATAACAATTCTCATGACATGTAGAGAGCTGTGTCTCTCAGTGTGCATGCTAATACGGAGCTATAAAAAGGCTAGTGGCCACTGGATTATCTCTGATACAAATAGCAGAATCAAGAACGTAATTTTGATTGTTGCTGTGTGGCAATATGCTAGATAGACCGTATCTACAGGGTCTTACTTTTGGCAGTCAGCTCTGGCTAATACTTAGGTTAGTACAAAACAAAACATGTACAAGCTATGCAAAAATTTGCATAACGAACTGAATGTTTATCCAGGTATTCAAGTAATCCTTACTACAGTCTCACTTTACTTAGCAAATGAGAATTTGGTGTTAGAAGGAGCAAGAAGCCTATAATCTGGTATGTAAGCCTGAGAAATGACTTGATTACCAAACAGAGCTTTTTAACCTCAGTCTGCTGGGTGTTAGGTTATCCTCTTTGAGATGGAGTTTGACTGGAAGGTTAGTCATTTCCTTCCTATGTATCACTCGGCCCAGGAGTATTCTCACAGGTGTATGGAATGATGATTGTAACTAACAGATGCTTTTTAACTTCACGTTCTGTTGAAAACAAGCCTGGAAAGTCACTGTTTTAAGTGTCAGAGCATATCTTTAGCATTCAAATCTTGTCGAGGCCTTGTGAGTGAAGATACTGCTGTTTTAGCTCTTTCTCTGCCATTCATTTGCTTGGTGACAATGGACAAGCTGATCTTCCCTTCTCTGAGGCAACACATATCTCACAAGGCTTTTTTAAGGCATAATACATTGCTTTGAGGCTCAATTTTAGGGACAACATTTGAATAATCTAATTTTACACTTAAAGCATTAATCAGAAGCATGTTATCTCTCCATGGGTGGTCCACTGCAAGACACCCTGTTAAGATGGAACTGCCTCATAATGTTCCACTGAACCTCATTTCAGCCATAACAAAATTATGCAGACTGAAGTTTTTGGAGATTTTGAAAGACACTCAATTGTTTTCTAACAGTATGCACTTTTGAGGTTCAAGGCAAAGATTTCTAAAGACATTAATCACATTTCTCTGCAATTTCCTTGCATTTTAAGGCATTTATATGTGGAGTGCCATTACCATGATTCAATTACAGACATCTGATTTCTGTCATGCAGGTGTAAACCCAAAATTTCCTGTAACTGAAAAAAAGGAAAATTGTGTTATTTCAAGTACAAGCTTTCCTTGATTTTAGTCTTCTACTTTCTTTAGCCACTGGAAGCTCTGCCATTACACCTAAATTCCTAGCACACTAGTCTTAGGCTTTCCTCATCCACTACTTTTACTAGTCTGTTTGAAAGCCTAGCTAGCAGCATTTTAGTCAGTTAAATTGAACTCAACTCACCAATTGTCTTCAGCATTCTGTTATTTGACCAAAAAACATCCCCAGCAGTTCTAAAATTGGATCTCCCACAAAGAGTTGTTAATATGTCCAAATGACAATGCGCAGCTGAACTGACACTTCAGTGTAGGGGCGTCTCATTAATAGAATTCATGCCAAAGTACATGATAAAAAGATTGCAGTTGGCCCTAGTTACAAGAAAAGGTCATACTTCAACCTGGCTGTCCAAAATAACAATTTATTCTCTTAAATTGATCTTTTCAATGTGAATAGTTTTTCAAAGTGTACATAGAAAAAACTTTCAATAACCTAATGACTAATTAGTTATGCATTTGTAAATGATGCTATGCAACAGCAAAGAATAATCATGGACACATAAGGAATTATCTCATCCATCAATATATCAGATCACTGGAACAGATTTACTCAGCTTTACTGAAGGGGAAGAAAAGACCTCAGTCTTTCTCAGAAGACTTTATTGGATAAATGTTTTTGTCATCGTACATACAGAAGGTTGGAGTCTGGACTATTTTGTACCAAGGCAAAAATCAAGTTTAGGAGTCTAAGGAACCCGTACGCAGGATGTGGGGCTGAAAATCTTCCTCTCTCTCAGTACTGTCCAGAAATAGCTCTGCACTTTTTAGACTTAAAGAAAAAAGTTATTTTTTAGACATTACTAGCATTTTATGCTTGCTGTGTACTGTAATAACCAAAGTTATCTGAACTTCCTGACCACTTTAGCATTTTCCTTGGTATGTAAGTCCAATGCGTTAAATATTCAATAGGTATTAGAGCAAAAATAGTGATGACACTGAAGCTTAATAAGATTTATTTTTATGTGGTTTTTGAAAATATTTGATGACTTTTCACTCACTGTCTTTATTTTTCTCTTTCAGGAACCCTGATGGAGATGTCAGCCCATGGTGCTACATTGCAGAGCATGAGGATGGAATATATTGGAAATACTGTGAGATTCCATCCTGCCGAAGTAAGAGCACCATGCAATTTTTTTTAGGCCTGCATCCCTGTTGAACAGAGATTGGCAGTTATACAACAGTGGGTAGTGATTTTCAAACAGAAACTAGGATAAGGCCGATCAGCTTATTTTCATTTGCAGACTAAGCAATATTTTAAACGGGTCTCTAGAGTTAATGACAAGCTTACTGAATCGTTCCTCCATTGCTATCCTTTTCATCTCATCTCATCTCAGAATTACTGGATTATATTATTTACAAATAATACCAGACAGAGAATCACTCAAAACTAATGAAGTACTGCTAGTTTTTTGAATCCACAGAAATACGTCATTCATTTATTAAAATCTTGGAGACAAAAATGAATAGGAAATTATTAGTTAATTTTTTTACAAGGTATGTATGTGTCCATGATTTGCAATTAGCTTGTAAAATGGATGGCATTAGTTTAATGTGTATAACACATCATACACAGAATTGCTTGGAAGAAATAAAGACAGTGTGAGAGGACATAGGGAAAAGGTGGCTATTTGTTAGGTATGTGGGAGCTCTGGGCTAGAATTCTATTCCTTGCAGGTGCATATACCTGCATTGGTGCATTTCACACCTTCATTGATGTGAAACCACAAACTGGACTTTGTTCGATTTTTTTTAACAGATAATTCACAAGCTATTCACCTGAAGCTTCCTTGCAGTATTTAATATTTTTAAAGTATTATATTATTTACCTTGTCCAAAATGTGGAGATTTTGTCATGATTCGTGTCAATATGTTCCAAGATTTTCATTCCTGAATGCTCCAGGATAAACTCCTAAGAATCACATTCTTTAAAATATGCCTAGGTATTAAAAAGAGATTCCAGTTTTGCATGGTAACAAGCAACCATAACTACACACTTTCTGAAGTCTAATCATTAATGCCTTTACTTGCTTACCTAACTTCTGCTATGCAAGTACTCTATTTCGAAGGGATAACTTATGTGAATACTGTTAAGCATCAGAGCAGTTGTCCTTACGTAGGCATACTTTCGATCAGAAGAAGTACATTTCTTACTTGAAGTTCAGAAAACAAAACCAAATGAAAAATGGATCTAAAGTGATTTTTTACTTTGTCCACAGTTTTCTTTTTTTATGAATGTGAGCGAGTGATTCACATCTTCAAGCTAGGCAAACAAATACGTAAGTGTGGCCTTAAGTCGGGTGACTTTTACCTAGGCTTAAATACAGATTAAGGAGTCTAATTTAAATAACACAAAATCATTCAACGCTGCGATACTCATTGTTCAGAGGACATCTTACTCTTATTTTTCTAATATACGAGGTCCTATTTAGGAAACATGACCCTCCTAATTAAGGAATTTATCTTGGTCTAAAATGAAAGAATTTGCATTTTCTTTAAAGACCACAGATGTTAACAAATTCTCTGGATACGGCACCAGTAAAAAAGCTGAAAGGCAAATTCTCTCCACTCCATTTGTTCTACACAAAGGATCCTTTTAAAACCAGCCTCACTCATTTTCTCTGTGGTGGGGAGCAGAGGATTTAAACTTGGACACTTACTTGCACAGATAATCCAGACTTACATTTACAAAATGTCCTTTTGACCAGTAGCAGCTGCTTCAAGCATTGCACTGAAACTGGATACTAGAAAAAGGAATTGCAGCAATTTAGAACAAACTGTACATTGCAAGCCCATCCAAGTCTTAATACAAACCTCATGGTTTATGAAGCTGTGTAAGTAAAAAAAACTTTTATTCTTTACCAGATTTTCTGTTTTCAGTAAGCATGATGCTAAATCATAGGACCATGAAAACTGACTTGTGAAGTGCATAATACAAAACTGAGTTTTGTGATGGAGCAAGAAAGCAATTGTGTAAAGAAATCCTATTCGAAATTTTTAGAGAATTAAAAAAATTGTCTTATATAAACTTCCATAATTATATTTACTACTAGAAAAGACAAGTATCTGGAGCATAATTTACCTATAAACTATATCCACATAATACTACTACAATGCTAACAGCATGAAGCGTCTTGATTGCCTAGAGAGATTTGCATGCAATCATTCACTGTAACAGTAATTAATAATTAATAATTAAGAATCTACAGTTAAGAATTTTTCATTATGATGATGATTTCACATGATAGTATCATGTGTCTCTCATGTTCACTAATATTTATACGTAACACTAAATGTTTCATTCAGAAATGTGTTCTGGCATTCTGCGTGTGTAAACACACTATACAGAATTTAGCAATGTTAGACGAGGATGGATGGGCATAATCACAGAAGACAGTGGTAGTTACCCCAGTAGAAGCTTAGTCTTTCCTTTTCTTCCTCTCCTCTTCTTAATGACTTGTCTGCTAAGCAGAAAGGAATGGACGTAAACAAAATAAAAGGCAAGAAGGCAGCACTGTGTCCTGAGAGAACATGTGCATCTCACATGGAGAATTCAGAACTGAATGCTTTAGATGGTTTGTTTGCAATGTTGCAGCTATTCCTTACTTTTTCGATCTCTTTGTTAATGAGGTTAGGTTGAAATTCAAAGGAAATAACAACTTACACTCCCAAAAGGTAAAAGAAAGAAAGGCTTGCTGCCCCACTTAATTGCATCTCCATGTTTACGGCCCACATGAGTCTCTTACCGTAAACAGATTTCATTACTGGAATCATATTTCCCGTGTGCATGTATGTCATGTAATAAATCTATTTATTACTGAAATATTGATGAAGTGTTAAATGGCAGAGCCAGGTGAGTTACACAGAGCTGTATTGATCACTCTGTAAGATTGACCTGTATACATTTTAACACAAGAACAAAGAGTAGCTTGCACAATTTGAGACAGTATACTCATGCATACTACTACTGCAAAAAGCTAGGAAGCTCCTGAAAGACAGCTAGATGAGCATAGCTGGAACATGGTTTTGAGCTCAAAAGGATTAATTCCATGTTTTAATACATGTGCCTTAACGTGTAATATGCAGAAGCTCTGGTGTTTGCCAGGACTGCACTATGTCAGATGCTGCTTAAAAGAAAAATAGCGTGCTTGCACAAAAGAGGTGACCTTTTAAGCACAAGAGAATAAATAGATACAAATGGGTGAAGACAGTGTAACAGTAAGACATCACTGAGAAGCATGAACAGTAATTGCAGAACATTGACTACCTAATTTTTGCCAAGCTTCTTTAGTAAGCTAAACATTAAGAGCAAATTAAGGCAAAAGATTATGCTGGAAATTTTTAAAGGTCAGAGTAACTAAACACTACCTATCTAGAAATACTTTTGATTCTTCATTGCTTTATATATATATATATATATATATAGTTTTATACATACACATAGGGTTGTAGGATACCCTAGGTTGGAAGGGACCTCAGGCCGTCATCTAGTCCAACCCCCTGCTCAAAGCAGGGCCAGCTCTGAGATCAGACCAAGTTACGCAGTTTGTCAGGTTAGCCAAGTTTATCCAGTCAGGCCATGACAACCTCCAGGGACGCGGAGTGCACTCCCTTGTTCTCTGGGCCCTTGTTCCTGCGCTTGACTGCCAGCGTGGTGAAAAGATTTTCCTTATATCCAGTCTGAACGTCTCACGTTTCAACTTAAGCTCCTCGCCTCTTGTCCAAAAGGCATCACTGTGAAGACCCTGGCTCCACTGTTGTGACAACCTCCATGTAGGTATAGCAAAGCTGCTAGGGGGTGCCCCCGAAGCCTTCTCTTCTGCAGGCTGAACAAGCTCCAATCCCCCAGCCTCTTCTCACAGGGCAAGTGCTCCAGCCCTCTGAGCATCTTGGCTCTCTGCTGAACTTGCTTCAGACAATTAATGTTTTTCTTGCACTGGTGGTCCCAAAACTGGACATAGTAGTCTCGGTGTGGTCCAAACAAGTGCTGAGTAGAGGAACAATCAATTCCCTTGATCTCTGGCTGTGCTCATCTTAATACAGGCCTGTTGGCTGCCTTTGCTGCCTGGCACACTCCTGGCTCATATTCAGCTCCCTGTCTATCAGGACCTTCAGGGCCTTTTCTGCAGAGCTGCTCCACATCCATAAATGTACACTGTCTTGTTTTAGATTTATGTTGAGTGGCTTCCTATGCATACGTCCTGATTCAGTTTAATATGGTATGAATGAGGAGCATGTTATCCTAATATACTAAAAATATTGTTGAAAAAGCAATAATTTGTGATCATAGAATCATAGAATGGTTTGGGTTGGAAGGGACCTTAAAGATCATCTAGTTCCAGCCCCCCTGCCATGGGCAGGGATACCTTCCACTAGATCAGGTTGCTCAAAGCCCCGTCCAACCCGGCCTTGAATGCTTCCAGGGAGGGGGCATCCACAACCTGTTCCAGTGTCTCACCACCTTCACAGTAAAGAATTTCTAATCTAAATCTACCCTCTTTCAGTTTAAAACCATTACCCCTTGCCCTGTCAGTACACTCCCCTCTACTATTATGCTTATACTATGTACTCTGATTACCCTTCAATAGCAACTCAGTGGTGTCTCAGGTTTAGGACCAGCCCATCAGTAGCCATAGGAAGAACTGGCGTATCAAAATCAAATATGCATGTACAGGAGTCATTTTTTGTGTGTGTTGTCCCAGTTCAGAAGAGTGTTTAATCATATATTTGATGTGGGACTACTAAAGTGCTTTTAGCTGAGCATATATCCTTGGGCTCATGTAGTTTGTTGATTTGATATCAAAGTAATTTGAAGAGGTGGGCACTGGCATGGAAATTACCGTTCACTATTGGGCTAGATTGATGCTTCTCCTGTTTATTCCCACTCACATGACACTAATTTTGTTTGCTAGATACAAGAATGTTAAAATACTGCCGGGACACCAAAGAGACTAATTAGCTTTAGGAGGTACCCAAATGGTATGCTTGATTTAGTTACAAAATGTAAGAAGTTTTCAAATTACTCAGTCTGGTTTCTTAGCATGGAACATATTGAAGTACTAATCCTCTGGAGACAAGGTTGAAGGGTCTCACCAATAAAGCTACTTAGAAAAAATATATAAAATATGTGTTTTTAGGAAATCCCAGGTCTCCTAGGAAAATCAGCTAGGTTGGTTAACTAGGAAGCTTTTTCAGGGCAATGAAATCATGCACGGTACAAAAAACTGAGCTCTCTGAAAGTTATCTGCCCAGCTGTACTCAGCTGGGGTGGGGCCGCAAATGGGGATTTCCAAGGGTATGTTAAATCAGGCTGTAACTTGAAGTCTCAGTGCTTAATATGCATGTTGCTGCAGGGCATAGCAAAGCCATAACTCCATGCAAGCATTTGTAATTGAAATTGTATCATTCTTAGAAAACGAAATTATTTTATGAACAATATTTAAAGCAACATTATCTAATTATTAAAAAAATATGCATACTTGAATTTTCTTCCCAACTTCATTCATTCTTCTTTATAATACTATAATCATCCACCTGAAGAGTATAATTATATACACACCAGTGTATTTGCTGGTCACTAATAGATATGCTAACCCTCTTCCTCAAAATAAGGAAGCTGCCTTAGGCAACATAGCCTAAGTCTGGGAGCAAGTTCTCAGACAGACCTGTTAACTGTTCCAGATGTCAGGATGATTCAGATTTTAACGGTAAGCTGACATCAGTTAGATGTCATCCAAAAGAATAGGGACAAGACCATCTTTGTTAGAATTAGACAAATAGAAGTTCTGAATTCAAGGCATTATTTCAATGGCTGCTGCACATGGACATGTATAAGAAATCCCAGAAATGGGCCTTCCAGAATCCAATGAAGAGATACTTTCAGGACTACTGTACAAGACTGCTCAGTACAAAAAGCATTATTGCATTCCTATTGTAATTACGTGTAAGTACAATAATACAAAAGCAGTTTACTAACACACAGGTTATCTGATAGAGAAAAGGGCCACCTGTACAAGAGATGGCTAGTTCAAAAGGAGCACCAAAACAGCTAATCCACATGCTATCAGGCATCTGAGGCTGCAAACCCCAAAGCCAGGATTTTCCCCCCAAAAAACCCTATTGGTAAGTCAAAAACCTGAAACAGTGCTGTGGCACAAGATGTTAGCAAGAGAGAGTTCAGAGTTTACTGGGTACTGAAATAACAAATGACTGAGTAAGTAAAACTCTCATACAGTTCTCTGACCGCACCACATGTTATACAGAGCTGTGAGGTTCAGTGGACAAAAAATAATCCTTGTCAATCTGGCACAGGGATAAAAATTATCTGACAACAGAGCTGGTAATAGATTTAATTCCAAGTATGTGAGCAGGTATGACAAGTAGGCAAGGGATAATTTTATGCCATTAGCACAGCACTATATTGTGCCCCACATCCTCTCTCGTAGTCATGGCTAAATTCCAGTGCTTTGATGAAAAGTGCAAAACCAAACCAAAACAAAACCAGGACAAATTATGCACTGAAGGGGGAAAACTCTTTCTGACCTCCCATAGTGACCAAGGAGCCTTGAAATGTTGTATTAATACAGGATAAATAGATGTTTCTTTAAAAAAGTAATATTGCTCGCTCTTTGTACATACCATAAAATATGATACTTTGAATTCATACCAGAATTTGAGTTTTAAATATTAGGAAATTCCCCTATATAAGTATATAGTCCCTCCCATAAAACTTGCCAAACTCCATCCTAAACAGTTTAGGTTCCCTTCCTCAAATATCCTGTTTAGAAAACTTCCAGAACTTCATTGTTTTGAAGATCAGACATAAATCACATTGTTTAATTTACATTGTTAGAATGTGCATGATCATAGCCAAAAAAACCCACAAAACCTCTGAATCCACTTAATGCCTTTTTTTTTAAATTGTCTCTATCAGGAGAAATGAACCAGGGATTTATCTTGTCTATATTACTGCAGCTTACAGAAATCAACTACAGAGTATTGCAGGTATATTGCTAAGAAGTTACAATGCTATTTCACCACCTGTCATTTATCCCTGGGCATGTTTGGAAAATATGACAAGCATCTAGCATAGAGTAACATTTCCCATACTGCGAAATCAAGACAAGAACATATAGAGAGCTGCTTAGTAACCAGCTAGTGCATAAAGTGGTCTGTCTTGGGTGTTTCCAGGCACACCTTTAGAATGACACTTGTCTCTTATTCTTGCCAGTGCCAGGGAATCTAGGGTGTTACAAGGACCATGGAGAGCCACCACCTTTGACTGGCACCAGCGAGACCTCCAATAAACTTACTATCCAAACATGCATCAGTTCCTGCCGAAGTCAACAATTTAAGGTGATTTCTTTGACATACATTTACAAAATGTTTTCAAAGACAAAAGATGGCAGTAGGCCTAGAGCTCTCTATTGTATTTCTCCCCCCCTGCATTTTTTTTTACCTGTAAGAGGTCTAAGGTCTCACTCCCACTCCAGGGGACCTAGCCCTCTCTCTGCATCCAGAGCAATCTGGGCAAACGACCGATTAATAACGCCAGGATGCCAGGAGAAAGTATGCTCGCTTACTGCAGTTATGAGTGATAGGGTGCCCTAACTGCCCTCCGCTCCATCTTTCTCGCTAGTCTTAAGTAGCATCCTGACAGCTCAAACAAAAACAGTTTGTGGTGGGGCCTCTGACCTCTGACTAATCATACTTCTCCAAAACACACATATTCTGCTGCCAGCTTTCTTGCTCATACAACCTCCTGCTGTCACTCCCTTAAATATTATCCCTCCCTTCCTTATGCATCTTTGTTGTCAAAGTTTGCAGGCATGGAATCAGGTTATGCTTGTTTCTGTGGAAATAATCCTGACTACTGGAGATATGGGGAGGCAGCCAGTACGGAATGCAACAGTGTTTGCTTTGGAGACCATACTCAGCCTTGCGGTGGGGATGGCAGAGTCATTCTTTTTGACAGTAAGTATTGAAACAGGCTCAGTTTTTCCCAAAGGAGAGGCCTCAAATGTTCAGCAAATTAGGGAAAAGGGTTTAAATGCAATGAGAACTGTTGCACACAAAATGGCAAAACACCTAAATTCAGTATAAAATAAAGCTGCTTTCCATTTCTGCATAAAATTCACATCCACTAATAATGTGAAATAGCTCTTCCAAGAAACGATGCCTGCTCAGGCAACTGACTCATGCTCCGGGGATTGTCTCTTACTTCCCCACAAGTGGTACAACTCAGCTATCACAAACAGCATGTCACGGAAAGACTCCTTCAGAATTGATCTTACCACAGAGCAGATACATGATTAAGTGAGGCACCTCAAATAAAATTTCAATCTACACCAACTTGGGTTTTTTATTAAACCAGACGAGACTTGCTATAACCCAGTTAACACAACACAAAGCAGTGTAGTAGAATTGGGGCAGGGAAGGAGTGTACTGCAAAAGTACAAACAAGTTAGGTGGCTATTATGACCATTGCTGATTTCATAATTTCTTATACATAGAAATGCTCCTTTCTACTCTTCAGTATACATAACCAGTGCCAGCTGTGTAACTTCACAGGTTGACGGTATGAGTACCCAGTTGTCTGGCTGCAGTACAGGCTCCCAGTATAGCCGGGAGTACTGGAAAAGTTCACAGTATGCACCAAAACATCGTTGCTTCTCAGATCTCAACTGCCTCTGATGTAGAAGCTGCCTTTTAAGTCGAGTTATAAACTTTCTGGAACTAAAAGCAGCATTGTTTTCCACTTTCTGAACACACAACCAAACTTCCCATCTCCTTACTCTAAAACTCTGGTTCCCAGCTAGCGAGACAGAAAGACATTTCAGTTGAGACAGGAATTAGTCACTCTGCTCACTTCCAAATTCTCCCCAAGATACAAAAAGAAGCACTGGAGTTGCATGTTGCTTTCAATGTTGAGATAGCATGTAGCTTCACACTGCAGCATCCTCTGTTTCCTTCTGCTCTTGGCCTCCGAAATCCTCGATGGGTAAAGACTTCCTTTGTAGCTTTCCTTTTCTGGAATGACCGAGGGCTCAGCAAGATGTTACCCTGAGGACCTGCACTGTCTTTTCTGGTAAACGGCAAGGGAGAGAGCTATGGCCAGGTAAGAGAAGTCATCCTAGTAACTGCCACCTATTTTCTTTTGCCGATGAGGAAAATTTGCTCCCCTCATTCCTCTTTTCCAGATTATGTCATATCCCCAGAGCCTTCACCCCGATCCCTGTACACCCGCGCACACGCACAACCCCCCCATTAACCTTATGTGTTTATGTGCTACTATCATGGCCTAAAGCTGTAACGTTCAGACCCACAACACAGAACTCTGCCAGCTCTAGAAGGAAATGAGAGAGGGACAGCATTTCCATTCCATATGGGGCAATGCTGTACTTTTTGTTAGGCATCTGTGGAGCACTAGTCATTGGCATTTTTAGTTAATATTGCTGGTTTGAAGAACATCTTGTGATTCAGTAATTACAAACAACACAGCCAAATGTAACAATACCCACGAGCCATTTGCAAAGAGGAAATTTGATATCTCAATGACAAATGTCAATTCTATCAATTCAATCTATTCTATTGAAACAATTCTATCTATTCGATTAAATCACCAGCTCTGTTAGCATGGAGTGAGTGCCAAACACAAATTCCTCTATTGGGGAGGATACCTCTGTGGGGTCTTTCACATTCTTTCTATTCTTCTTCTTTCATATTCTTTCAGTTCCTCTACGAGGTCTTTCGTAGTGCGGCACTGAAGTGAGAGGTTTGCTCAGGCCGTGATCAGGCCTTGCTCCAGAAAAAGAGATGATTTTTCTGGCAGAGATATGCTACTTCTTGTTCTCGTTTCCCCAGCTCCCATTTAATTTGTATCTATTAAAGCTCTTTTTCAGAGGCCTGTGAAAACTGAGACACTTCAAAACACTTCCTTTATTTGCATTCTCACAGGCCTCTATTACAGGACTTTAATTAAGCTTTCAGAGAAAATAATTCTACTTTGATTCTTCAGTCCTTCAGCTTATGATATGGGGGAGTGATATCTCTGATCCAAACAGTTTTGTCATGAAATACATTATTATATAATACATATTAAATGTGTATTTAGGGATATATAAAAATACACATATATGCATTTACACCTATATACAATACATTTTAAAAATTATATATTCATATATATAGATATGCATCAAGTCAGTTGGCTGGCATTTGAGTTTCTCTCTGGATTCATTGGTAAATAAGCTTGCGCTGGGAATCTGGATAGTTGTCAAGGAATATAAAGATTTACTGGTTGTGTACTTGTTTTGAATGTAAAAGGTAGCAACAAATCTAAAAGATTTTCTTTAGACTTCATAACAGGATCTTTTTCAAGTTACTTCGTGAAGGTAAGGTCAAACATTAATTGGACAAGATCAAAAGACGGGATGCTTAAAAAGCACATATAAACGGCCACAAAGGCGATTAAGGGATTTCAGCATCATTCATACAAGGAGAGGCTGAGAGATCTTGGATTGTTTAGCCTTGAGAAAAGAAGGCTCAGGGAGGAATCTTTTCAATTTCTATAAATAACTGATGGGAGGGTATAAAGATGAAGCCAGACTCTCCTCAGTCTTATCTAGTCTTGTCTAAGAGGCAACAGGCACAAATTGAAATACAGGAAAATCCATTTAAACGTAAGGAAAACCTTTTTTTATGGTGAGGGTGACACTGGAACAGGTTGCCCAGAGAGGCTGTGGAGTCTCCATCCTTGGAGACTCAAAACACAACTAGACCATGTCTCCTGCTTTGAGCAGGGGATTGGACTAGACAATCTGCAGGGGTCCCCTCCAACCTCAGCTATCCTGTGAAGATTTGTTTTTTCAGTTTGATAAGGCTGTGAAGGAATTTCAATAATTCAACAGTGAGAGTTACAGTCACTGATCCACTTGCCTGCCTGCCTGATAGGGATGGAGTAGAAGTCCCGGAATCACTGATTTAGCTTTCATCCTGTTCCTGCAGGGATGCGGGAGGGGGTAAAAAACCAAATATAACCGGCCACAAAGGCGATTAAGGGATTTCACCATCATTCATACAAGGAGAGGCTGAGAGATCTTGGATTGTTTAGCCTTGAGAAAAGAGGCTCAGGGCAAACATTAATTGGACAAGATCAAAAGACGGGATGCTTAAAAAGCACATATAAACGGCCACAAAGGCGATTAAGGGATTTCAGCATCATTCATACAAGGAGAGGCTGAGAGATCTTGGATTGTTTAGCCTTGAGAAAAGAAGGCTCAGGGAGGAATCTTTTCAATTTGTATAAATAACTGATGGGAGGGTATAAAGATGAAGCCAGACTCTCCTCAGTCTTATCTAGTCTTGTCTAAGAGGCAACAGGCACAAATTGAAATACAGGAAAATCCATTTAAACGTAAGGAAAACCTTTTTTTATGGTGAGGGTGACACTGGAACAGGTTGCCCAGAGAGGCTGTGGAGTCTCCATCCTTGGAGACTCAAAACACAACTAGACCATGTCTCCTGCTTTGAGCAGGGGATTGGACTAGACAATCTGCAGGGGTCCCCTCCAACCTCAGCTATCCTGTGAAGATTTGTTTTTTCAGTTTGATAAGGCTGTGAAGGAATTTCAATAATTCAACAGTGAGAGTTACAGTCACTGATCCACTTGCCTGCCTGCCTGATAGGGATGGAGTAGAAGTCCCGGAATCACTGATTTAGCTTTCATCCTGTTCCTGCAGGGATGCGGGAGGGGGTAACGTGGTTACATACAAGGACAAAGGATAGCTGCAGTGTTCAAGATTGGTACGTAGGTCTCAGAGTAATGAGACAGAATGAGTGTATCCCAAGCAAATGCAACATAATAGCTGTGCTCCAGTGCTGTGGAAGGTAAAGACGACCAATCTGAGAGACAGTGCATCCTGCTGGGGTAGCAAGTCTGTACCTTCAAGTCACATTTGAGTATTAGAATCTACAGAGTGCTAAAGCTGTGCATAATGAATGTATAACCTCTTTTTTTTTTTCATTTTTCTCCCTCTCCTCTTCTTTCACAGCCCTTATTGGTGCCTGTGGAGGGAATTACACTTCTGCTACAGCTGTGATCTATTCCCCCGATTTTCCCGACACATATGGCACAGGCAAAGTCTGTTACTGGACCATACAAGTTCCAGGAGCATCTCGAATCCACTTCAGCTTTGCCCTTTTTGAAATCAAAGATGCTACAGATATGGTGGAATTGCTGGATGGCTATACCTATCATGTTCTAGCTCGTTTTAATGGCAAGAACCGGCCTCCCCACACCTTTAACATCTCTCTGGATTTTGTCATTTTGTACTTTTTCTCAGATGAAATCAATCAAGCCCAGGGATTTGCTATCAGATATAGAGGTAAGAGGCTAACTTCGCTGTTTCTACCTTTCAATGAGCCGTTAAAGCATTTAATTCACACAGGAGATTTCTGAAGTGGCAAAAAAAGAGCAAATATTTTAACTCTCATGTCTACAGGTGTTTCATCTATCTTGTTGCCACTGCTCAGTGGGTAAAAGCTTCACTAAAATTTCTCTCAATTTGGAACAGTCCAGTCAGCTATGTCATAAATAGCAAAATTTAAATTTTCAACGTTTCAATCCTATACATACCTGCCTTTCAAAACAGACTGGAAAATGACAAAGCTGAAACAAAACAAAAAAACCCAGTAGTCCATCTGCATCTTGGTTCATCTTGGCTCTTCCCAACAGTCTATTCCATTCAGATCGAAAGTCATCAGGAGAAAACGTTTTAGTCCGTGACTTGTACCTACTGTTATGATGAACAATTAGCTTCCAGAAAAATTCTGAGAACCCCAACTTGGTGAAGTACAGGCTTTTTCTGGTATCAGACATAATTTGATTATTGGAGTTCTCTAAGTAAACCAGAGAGCAGCACGTCTGTTTACGAGCACAAAATAAAGTCCAATTACACCTGTTAAGAAATTGTTACTGTAATCATACTCTTGTGTTTTCAGCTGTGAAGGACAATGTGCATCAAAACAAGATTCCAATGAATCAGACCCTTTCAGAGAAGATAAATGAACAAGCAAATCTCAGCATCAATGCAGCCCGGTCATCAAAGATACTTTATGTCATCACAACCAGCCCAAGTCATCCTAGTAGTTCCATGCCTGGTAATATTACAAGAAAATGTGGAAACAGGAAAAACATTTTGCCAAGGCACAATCTAGAGTCACTATTTCCTTTCCCTCCGCCTCCACGTTATCTGATCCACTGTGCTTCTTACTAATAGATGAATTTTCATTTAGTCTAATTACCACTAACTGTGCTGCGCTCTACTTTTCAAAACTCACTTCTCAGCATAAATCAGTTAGAAATAGTGTGAAGATGGTGAGTCCTTGAGGATGAAAGAACATCAGAGTAAGATGTGAGTCAGAGCAGCCTCCTTACTAGAATCAGCTTCAGTGACCAGTGCATACCATAGAGGTGGCAAAAGGTGCTGAAAAAAGAGCAAGCTTTTGTAGTCTGGAAGGGCCTGGATGCTAGATGCACCCCAGTTATCCCAGTTCACAAAAGCCACAGCAGTAATACACAGAGGGCTAGACAAGGATGAAGCAAGTTAATGGGTGCAGGGGAGATGCCACTGAGAACTGTCATGTGTCTAGAACTCCCCTTCAAGACATCACTTCATTGAGGAAATTGTTGAGTTGTAAATAATTGAAGACTGGAAATGCACTCTTGGTGAATATCACTATTGGTCTCTCCTATCTTTAAACTTCCCTGGGCATCTGCTTTTACGTGTCGTTGAAGCTGGGCCTCGGTCACACTATGGACACTCTAATAGTTCTGCAGTCCTGAAGCTGTCTGCATTCCAAACCTGAAGCGCGAGGACATGACTGCACATGAGCTGCATATACCCAAACTAGCCAGGCTGCAGAACACGCCCGGGATTCTGGGCAGATATTCTGGCACCAGGCCCAGGCTGGTGCCTGACTTACCACGGCTACATTTTACCTTGCCTAGTGTTAAACTAGCTTGGGCATACCGACCTAAGATGAAACTGCACCCTTGGATTTTATGCAGTTATGAAAATACTGTTAAAATCATCATGAACAGTCAATGCTTTGAGGAAGGGACATTGGGTGGGAGGGAACTTACAGTTCCTTTTTTTGCTGCTTTGAGCTTCAGGAGTTCTGAAGGTGACGGCCTTTATTCAGTTATTCTAATAATTCAGGGTCCTTGCAAGGCTGTTCAGTGTGCTAAATATGTCAGAGTTACATTCTAGTGCCATCCCTTCTCCCATCTCGACGTGCTGTAGCCTCCCACTGCAAGATTATGGAAATCCAAATGAAAAGGCGATCTAATAATTTAGAAATCAGCTCCCCTCAAGCCCCAATCTCTTAAGTAGTTCGAATGTTACAGTGTCTCAAGCTGTTCTTTAAGTCCTGCTTGACTTGCTGGTACAACCAGAACTAAATTGAAATGTAAAATATAGTGACCAAGAGCCTTCAGTGTAAGGTAATAAAATAGCAGACCACAAATACTGATCAGCTGTCTCAGTAGACTCTAGGAAGGAAAAAAAACCCATACTTAGTGATTACTTACATAATTACTGATATAAAACTAGGCCATCTCCTCACAAACATAGAGTTACTACTGGTAGCATATGTTCTAGTATGTTGTTTAGTCTGCTTTTAAATTTTCCTCTGAGTGAGTTTTGATTCCTTTCCTAGATATTAGTTAGACAATTTTATCGGTATATGATTTGGATTTTCCCAACTCTCAATTTTATAGGGAGCAGTCCTGAATGGGGAAAAACAGTTCCGACTGAGAGTTACACAGTTTCTGCCAGTCTTTGCAGAAAATACTTAAAGGTTTAAGGCATCTTCAAATTACAGTTTTGAATAAAGCATCAGAAGGCTATGTGTTTCTTCTGTGCAATATTCTTACTTTAAAAATTGTAAGTAAATGAATGTACTAAGAGCCTCTCCTCTCCTCTCCCTCTCTCCCTCTCTCTCCTCTTCTCTTTTACAGAGTGGACAATATATAGTCTCACAGCGCTGCTCATCCTAAGTGTTACAGCCATAATAGCAAAGATATTTCTCCACATAACCATGAGGTGAGTATGGAGCAAAACTGTCCCTGGAGAACTGACGTCTCAGCTCTGTACCAAACCTGGTACACTTCATTTCTCTGCCTTCTGATACTGTCAGACTGGTCATATTCAAAACCAAGTTATATATTACATATTTGTATCCTCATAAAAGATACTAAATAAGCACATTTTTTAACTTTCCAGTCTGTTAGGATAGCATTTGCTGCTAGAATATCCCTTTTGGTCTTGTTTTGACAAGATTTGTATTTTAAGGAATAAAAAGGATTCTCATACTGAGTGATGTTATATAGCAAAGAGGAAAACGTTATCAGACGTTTAGCATTGGTGGGAAGGGGTGAAATTATGATAATACTTTGTTGGAAAAAAATTAAAACCTCATCCCAGATGGGGGAACTGGGAAAAAAAGTTAGATATAGGCTAGTTAATACTTACTTTCTTCTACTGAAATATTGAAAATGGTTCAAAAAAGAATCACAAAAATGAACATCTGTATTTTGGTGTGACACTTAACCGGTATAATTTTTTTTTGCCTATTAAAACCAGCATAATTTTATTACTATGTTTCTCTACACTTATACCAAGTAATTTTTGTGTCCTCTAGATGGACACTGATTGAATGAAATGATGGGTGAGTTATCAACAAATCATAAATGTTGAATATTGTATTTACGTACCACAAACAGGCTTAAATATACAAGGAAATTAATTTATATTAATAGCAATTAGTAATAGAATATGTACAGACTTCTTAGCTTAATGTCACCGCTTTCATTAGGGGAGCAACTATTCTAGCAACAGAATGGCTAACTTTTCATTTGGTCAAGAAACAACCAACAAACACTCCAAAACCCTCCATAACTGTGCAGCAGGTAGAAAGAAAAGGCGTCACAGAGGTAGTGGAAGCCGCTAGCATTACCAGGGTAGCAGTAATGCAGACATACTAACAGCAGCAGCTTCCCAAGCACCTTAACACTTGCAGTGAATTAACGCTTGTTTCCTAGGTCCCATCAGATACCATCTGCAACTGAAACAGAAGATTCCAGTGAGGTTACTACTGCTGGCGAGATCTGGAGTATATTTTACCAGCCATCCACATCGATATCCATCTTCAAGAAAAAGCTTCGAAGTCAACAAGATGATTGCAACCCACTAGTGGGAAACTGAAGTGTCGTCTATTTTACAAGAATCAATCTTCTTAAAATCCAGGTGACTTGGGAATAATCCTTTTTTTTTCTCCCAATCTCGTACTTGTTTTCCAAAAAGTCCATTTCAAAGGCCTTTGAGTGACTTTGCCGCTCTGCTGTTCTCTTGGGTATACTAATGACAACAGATTTAATTGCGGCAATAATTTTGAAATATTTGGTGCTCATAAATCTGTAGTGCTGTTAATTACTGCCTTTAAACCAACGCACTTAAAATACATGTAAAAACCTGTAAAATTCAAAATGTCCCGTACCCCTGCCAAAAGTAATTGAATGAGTATCTGCAGGTTGAGGACTTCTTGTGTCCTACTCTCCTGTACCACTGTATTATATCAGGCTACTGTAGTTCCTTTATTCTCAAGGCTGAAGACAGAGGTAGATACCGATAACCCGTTCAGCTGCCACAGCAACCGGAGTTTATTGGCCTTAATGTAAACATGTCTAAATGGTACTGTACAGCGAAATGGGAGTCAAAGACTTTGAGAAACTATCAGCCCGGTTGCCCAGTGCTCTGCTGTTTCTACATTTTCTGCTTCTACAAGCAGAGATGAACAAATAAAAATCAAATCAAATTCAGGAGGCAAACACTCTGTGGAGTTTCAGCTGCAAATGTGAGTTTCGATGGAGTAATGCTCACCAGGTCAAGGTCCGCACGAGCAATGAAGACTTTAAACAACTATGTCTGACCCATCATTCACCGATGACGATGATAATTTTGTTTATATTCACAGCGATCCTTTAAAAAACTATTGTACTCCAGTCTGAAGTCCTGCACTCATTCTGGATGTAAGCTTAGGGCTTCTTAAAGGATTGTCCAAAGACATTGTAAATCCACTGAATGTTTAAACAGTGAGGCTGACTAACACAAATTCTTACTCTGAAGTTCAAGATACTGATCTCAGCAGCCTAAACTATTTACAAAGTTGTAGCCTGCTATCAACAACTCACCTACGCCAGGCTGTGCATCTGAACACATACATAACAGTTGCCTTGATACTTACCTGTGAGAAGAAAAAGTGTCTCCTTGCCTGCAAAATTAAAACTGAACTGCGTTTTTAAGATTAATGCCCTTAAACGTCAAAGAACTAAAACATCAGTGGGGATCTGATCTGCGAAATAATTTCTGTTTGATTGCAACAGACAGCATTAACTGTTTTTTCTCTTTGGTAGAGTATCTGTCCACCCACAGTGCTCAGACTTCTCATCCCACCACTGGGGATCAACAGTGAGTCTTTCAGCCTCAGCAAGTCCAGACCTCCAAGATATTTAGGAAAAACTGACAATACGGAAGTCAGAAAAATTGACTGGAAAAGTTTACTGAGTGAGAAGCTCCTCAAACTAAGTTAGAGGAAATTCAGTGACAGCCATTAAAGTACAGTAATTCTGGTTAAGGCAAAAGGAATAAATATCAGTTTAAACATATCGCAATGGTCTGTGTATACCAGACCTGCAGTCAGAGAACAACCATTAAATGCATCCGCGAAAGATAACTAAGAAAAGTAAGAAAATTGTCAGAGTTTAAATTCCTTATAGTATCTGCCCTTCTGTTTTTAACAGATAACTCCCTCCCCTTTATGAGGTCTATAGATTTCCTTGAAAAAATAGGGTATCTAAGAATTAAACAGTGAAATACTGTGCCTTACTTGCTGTTGTAGATCTAGTCTTTTACCTGAATTGAACTCATTCCAGCTCCCTTTATGTACCACAGATGAGTGCCAGAGACGGCTGAACAATGCCACAATAAATGCTTAATAGAAACAAGACTTTACTAAGCCAGCAATTATGGAATTGTTTATATAAAAAAATGGAATATCATGGGAACATCTAGTACTTTCTTGCATGAGCTGCTGGAAAGAAGACAGGAAAATATAATTACAGTATTGCCTAAAATCAAGACAGGACAAGTTGTAAAATACGCTGGTTATCTCTTACGTGTCATCAGGTTGGACCAAAAAAATTACAAGTTTCAGACCCAACAAAAATTTTTAAATTGCCCTTTTAGCAGTCAGGTTTTGCATCATGCTGTGTAGGGAAAGAGTCTACCTCACAGATTTGTAGCAAAACAAATCAGTTTGTTTCCTAAGCACGCTTAATATGGTTCACTAATGGAAAACCAGGAGGAGAGAGTGAGAGTGTAAAGCTAGATCCTTAAGAGTTAAGCTATGAGCACATTGTGATGAAGCTTTGTTTGCTTGCCTTATCAAATGTTCTTCAGCAGTTAAACATATACAGTCAAAGGGACGTTCATAAAATAGTTAGCTAATGCTGGTAAACTGAAAAAGCAGCAGGAGCACCCCATGACTGATTTCTACCTACTGCAGAAGGAAAAAATACAGAACTGTTAAGCTTCTCTTCTTCAGTTAAGAATTTAATTTCACTATAAAATTAGAGAAAGCCTATTACAAACAACAACAAAGACGACTGATGCTACTAATGCAATAGTAGCATTATTGTGCTACTAATCTATGCAAAATCTAGAGAATTTAGAACTGAGATTCTGCATCAGTCCCTTAGCTCCTCAACTGTTTTTTAAATAATAAAACCGTATTTCATGGGCCTTTCTTAGGAAATGTTTATCCAAGTTCTTTATGGAAGAGCCATAAACACAGCAGTTATAGCAGATTAACTGCTGTATGACTGCCATGGCAACAATGAACATGACTAAGCATAAGGTACTGGACAGTGCACAGGTAAACACACTGATAAAAGCGTAGAGGAAATGGTTACGTTCCCCTCAGATCTTTCCGATTGTCTGATTCTAGATACCTCTAATACTAGGAAACAGAGCAACAGATAGAAATGCATGGGCAGGGTCCCTTAAATAGCACTTCGTACTATACAGGCCTGAGACCATACAGAGCAGGCAGGGCTCTGCTGTGGATTTTTTCAAAATGTGGTATGGTCACTCGCACTCCTAGTACAAACACCTCAGTGGTACGGTGGTGTATGGCCAACATATAAGGTATCCGTTAACATAGCACTTTATGATCTTTGCTGTAAGGGTTTGGGGAGAGAAAGAAGAAAAGTCTGACATGCACAACTGTTGTAATCCCCCATGATTCAGCATACAGAAACGCCCCGACGACACTAGCAGCTGAGTGCTGACAGCTGGAGGGCAGGGACACCTCAGGATGTTAGTGTTCACAGCATTTTCTTCAACAACTTGAAAATAACTGCAGAAGAAGAATTTGTTTGGAATCGTATCTGAATGGCCTTCTGACCTCCTGCCTAGCAGTTCCCTCAACAGGCTGGACAGGCTGCAAACGCGACATTGGCCACAATTTCAAAAGCAACTGTTTTGACAACAAAACCACCATGAGGAGCTGCCTCCTCATATACACGCATTCCAGCCCCTGCCTTGGCCCCCTCCTCGCTCTGTTGTGTTGGTATGACCGGCTGTGTGGTGGTGCAATAAACTGATCGGGTTAAAAATTACCATCGCTTTTTCTTCCCTGAGTTACTTTTAGCAGAGATGAGTTCTCTGATCTTGTTTGTTGGGTGGTTGCACAGAGAGGTGAGCGAACACACCTAAGTGGACAATAAGACCTAGGAAAAAGACAGCTGGCTGCCCCAGAAGCGGGGGCAGAAAGTACTTAGGCTGGCACTGCCACCGCAGCAATTTGTGAGACTGCCTCCTTACTTTACGCAGCGTCAGTTACAACAGCCTACGGTGTGCGTGGGCCTCGGGTGGAAGGGGGCCAGCTGGACAAGTGGCCTCCCCAGTTCAAAGTCTTCGTTTCAAACTAGTTTAGTTTGTTGACTAAATGGTTTTATATGTACTTTTGTCTTAATATTGTTATGTCGGGGGGGGAATAGAGACTGTGTTATTTAAAAATGTGTGATATGTTATCATAGTAATATATATATTTATATATGTATAGGAAATGCATTATTTAATACAGCATATTATGCTTGTATCTTGCTAACATTTTATAGGAAGAAAAGATGTTAGTTTACACTCTGGGAAAAATAAATTTTCTATACACTGTAACCATAGAAAAAAATCAAAGATAATTCATTGGTATATATGATAGAACAACACTGAGAAGAGGGTAACTCAGACGCAGTTTTGTGGCAGAATAGCTGGTGATGAAACAATTGCTTTAAGACACGCTTTCCTGCTTTGAATCTCATTTCTAGCTTGTAATTATATTAGGCTGTTCATCAGATTCTGCAAATTCATGTGCCTATACTCTCAGGACCATTTTAACATCAAACATGTCATCTGCTTTTTCAATCAAGCATTACCATCATCTTTTTTAGGGCTTGTTTCTGCCAGATTTTCTACAGCCAGTACAATGTTGAGGAGGTTTATCACATTGCTCATGCAGACAACCCAGTGGTATTGCAGAATTACAGTCTCTGTATTCCAAGCTCCCCTGGCAATAGTATAAATGGGAGATTTTTACTGATAGCCCTGGAAACTGTACTGAATCTGCAGCCGGTATGACTGCAGGCCAAACACGTCAGCAGACACTTGGCTGCCACTGAATGAGCATGACTAGCTATTCCAGTTTCATCTTCTGCTTAATAAGCCTTCTCAGGCAGTGGGAAGCGCTGCCAACAGATTTTTCTAGTGCACCACTTTGCCTAAAGGAAGGGTGAACTACAAAAACAACTCCTGACAAATACTTGTCCAGCTAGTTCTTAATACCTCGCAGCAGTATTTCACAACCTTCCAATGAAATGTAGTCCAGTGATGGTTTCACCTGAATATTCTTCTAGACATTTATGAACAACCTTATCATTCTGCTACCTTGAGATCTTGAGAGCGAAAAATAGAATTGCCTTCAGACCATACCATTTTTTCTGTAACAACACACCCCCGACACACATACATTTCATGCAGCTCATACTTTCTCAACTTCACTGAGCACCTGTGCTTTGGGATGAAGTTTGGCATTCTGAATTTCAGTTTCAAGACAACTTACTGTAAATCCAAAGGCTATCACATGAACCAAATAAGACTGACAAGAAAACAGAATAAATCAAACTTGAAATGACTCACCACTGAAATACGTGCTGCGTTTATACGTGGTCATCCTGCATTCAGCAAATGGCTGTAAGTAATAATTACAAAAAAATAAATACAGTGAATTTCTGCAGGAGTTCAGTTAGTATCGCTAAAGTGTAGACAAGCGTTGAATAAAGGAGGCAGAAACTGCTGCGGTTCGCCAGCAGATTACAGCAGGATTGTCCGCTGGGGAGGTTAGAAGAGAGTGTTTGAGCTGAAAATGCTGAGAATGATTACATACGGAAAATATGTTATCGCTCCGAGAAGCCATTTCTGAGGTAACAGCAAATTGAAGTTTTCAGTTTACATGTTTTCAAACTGTTAGAAGTAACTGTAACAATTCTTTCAGTGTTTTCTCTACAAATTGCAGCAACCTGTAATGCTGTTTCCACTTTTCTTGCAAGATTCATCTTTTCTTTCATGAATTCCTCCTTCTGACCAAAACAATGCTACATTCTCTCAAAGAAGTCTTCAGCTACATTTATGTAAACGTCTGAGTGCCAGTGTCGGGTACCAAAACTGTCTCCAGCTTTTCATGTCAGGGCTCAAACTCTCATTTTCTTGTAGAAACACTACTGTCACAGGGGAGGGAGGGTACTCTGCTCTCCTTTCTTGCCATTCAGGTTACGAGACTCCTCTTACACTTCTGTTTATTCTGGGAACTGCTGCCTTTTTTTTGTTGCTCCCTAAGCAACAGTTTCATTCCCCATGAGGGAAATGGATTCTTTATTCTGAAAGAGATGCTTTTCTATGAAGCGTCTAAGTCACAGGAGCACAGCGCTTCCATTGCAAGATAAAATATCTGGTTTCAGGTATGCTGTTTTCTCCCTGGCCAAAGACTTAGGCCAGGCTGGCTCCACACAGTATGAGCATGGCCATCCTTTTAAGGACACTTTCCTCTTCACACCACACAAGTAACAACCAATGTTACCTAACAGCTGTCATAGGATTTGACAGATGCACCCAATATTGCTACAGCAAAAATGAGATAGTGTTACAGAAACACCAAGTGTTACCATAATGTACAATCTCATTAAGAATAGTTGGCTCCTGCTTTTCTTCTTTTACCATATGGAGGTTCCATGCTGGTTTATGGTGCCCACGGGACTCTAATTTTGCCACAAATTTGTTCCTTAAATATTGAACCTCAACAGTGAAAAGAACCTCCCCTTGCCAAATATCAAAATACTCATTTTTGATAGAAAATGTTTACATTTAGTTACTAAAAAAAAAGCCACAACAAAGAAGAGACAGAATAACACACACACACAACTAAGCACCACATTCAAGTTCAGTCAACAGCCCACAACTGTCGTTCTCAAAGAGACAGAGTATGGGCTCACTGATTATTTTGTGGGACAGCAAGGGTAAAGGTATGTCCTGTCCTTAAAAGCACAATCACCTCACGGTTTTCTTCAGAACAAGAAATGAGACAACAAAACACTAGTCAGCAGTAGCAAACTGGGGGGGTGGAGGGAGGGAAGAGGAAGGAGACTTCAGATGTGACCCGTCAACACAGGCGTATCAGCCAAACACATATGGCAAACTTTATGCTATTTTTAAGAACAATTGTTTAATGAACTAATTTGCAAATAAAATGCATATCTGTAATCATTGGCAATTGCCAAGATTCTGTTCACCAAGCAAAAAAAGGGCACGTACTTTGATTGGGAAGCACCTGCTGGTGCTGCTTAACTCCCTTCTGCCTGTTGCTCTTCCATTATTGTGCCTGTCTTCTCATACAGACCAGGCTTTCCCATGGTACCGGAGATGAGGACGGTAACTGACCCTCATGCTAGAACAAGTCCCATGTAAAATGATACTCTTCAGCTCAAGGCTGTCATCCCAAACATGGAGTTTTCATATACGAAACAGGGGGTTGGCAATGAGTAAGGCTCATTTCTTGGCAGAATTCTGAGGTGACTGAATTACGATGCACTTGAACATGGATGAGAGGGGGGGAAAGTCCAGGGGATTTCCAGGTGAAAATCTTTGGGAGAAGGAAGAAACTGGAGGAGAAGACTGGAAAGGATTATTTTGTGTCTGTGTATCACTGGATGGGAAATAAATAATGTACGGAGGCAAACTGTTTACACAATAACATATAAACATGTATTACATAAATACATACGTGTACACACACACACGCAGGTTGCTACCCACATACCGCCAAGCCGCTCTCTTTTGATGTCTGCATAAATATATTTGGTCAAGTTATGCCCTCTGCCGACAAAAAGAGAGTAGCACAGCACTGATTTTCGCTGCAGCGGGACCAGTGATTTCATGGTCCGGGGTAAGGACTTGGATCTAGCTTGACTACTCAAGCTACCAGTTATCCAGTTGCATTCACTTGCATCATGCTGGCTCAGGTCTCGAAAACAGTTTTATTTCAGGACGATAAATTATTTTACCTGAAATTAAACCAGAATTAAGTTCCCCTGCTACAAGGAACAGGCAGGTTCCAAACATAAATGAGGATGCCTTCCAGCAGATGAGTCACTCCTCATGTGCCTGAAGGATTCAGGGGCTTGTAAGACACCCCGTCGCCCCTCAAATAACCTGAGTACTGTGCAGATGCCCAAGTGCTGTCCTGCTAGTTATGGACTTGCCACACTGCAGTCTCAGCTTCACTGCGCTTCCTCCCGTTTCCCCTGGCAGAGCTCTTCACCCCACCTCTTCCACTGCATACTCTGGTGCGCTATTTCCCTAACCCTTCACTTTTCCTTCTGCGCCCTACACCTTCTTCGCCTTCCTTCCTACATAGTCTTTGTTTTCCCGCGATGAATATATCTAGCTTCCCCCCTCCTCAACAGCAACATCAGCCAGCTGTGACCAGGGACGCTGAAGCAACAGGCAGCTCTCATGCAACACAGATCCTGGGCGAAACTAAAGCAACAGGCAGCCCTCATGCAACACAGATCCTGGGCGAAACTACCTGGGGACGGTATTAGGAAGGCAGCTAAAACTGCCAAGTACTGGACTTACACCGCGCACACCACCAGCTAATTTCTGGTGGGTATTCAACTGTGGCACTTGCTGAAAGTGGAATGGTCCCGAGACAGAACGTTATGGGTTGCCTCCAGAAAAACACACTTCCGAACTTTTTATCATGATCATTTTTGTTAGGATCTGTATGTGTGTGTGTGTGTATACACATATCCACCGATCTATTATTTAGAAAAAGGAAAAAATATTGTTGTTTATTACAGTTCATCTCAGTATATCTAGGACTATACTTTGAGAAGCACAGCTATCCATGTCCTTTCCCCCAAAACAAGAAGGACAACTTCCACATGTATATGCAATAAAACTGTATTTTTGTGTGGTTTTGCCTTTTTTTTTTTTTTAATACAGACATTTGTACACTTTCTTACAAAACTGCAGGTAACTACAACTTTTCTTAAATCATTTTTGGTCGGCA